TGTAGACACGGCCGAAATATTGTATAATAGCAAGTGGTCTAGGTGGTTCATGGGGGTTGAGACAAAATTCACAGTACCAAGGCTTCCTTCGCTTATGACCTTGCGACCGCGAGATCATGAGACGGGAACCATCGACCACGGGCCTTGGTCAGAGGGGGAATGGATGATGGATGCGTCAGGATGGACCGCAGATCGTGGGTGCTGGTGGCTGCAGGTCAAAGTGACGTTTTTGGGGCCTTGTTAGACCCGGGGGCTAGCCAAAATGCAGGCCAAGTACAACCAGGCGTAGGAGCTGGAGAGCAGGGGACAGAGTGAGTGCTAGCGTATGCTACCTGGGTACTGAGCAGGTCCAGGCGCGCCCACCCTGGTGCTACTACACTTCTTGGAGTCGCCTAGGTGGGTAGTGTACATAGGCAGTACATGGCCTATCAGAGATTCTGCACTACCGTATTCAAGGCACTAGTGTACATGTCCGGTAGTGCTTTGTGGTACTATACTAGTAGCCTAGGAATCTGCCTAACATTGCAACTTCAAGTGCTCAGGTAGGTAGCACATACTACGTAGTCGGTGGTCTGAAGCTTACTATATTACTATCACAATTGCTTCTTCTATATGCACAAAAGGTGATGCCGACACAACCTATACTAGACTAGAGTATGACCGCAAATTGAGATCCTACTCACTGGGACATACTATTACAATAACCAAAAAAAAAAAAAAATAATACTGCCCTAGGCTATCCCTTCGAGTAGGCTGTGATATAGTGTAGAATTTACACTAGTGTAGGCGACCTATCGGCACAGCATACACCACTACAATAGCTTCAGCGCCAGGGGCAAGATTTGATGGTTCATCATCTCTGAACCCCCCTTTTTGCCTGTTTGGGGGTGGCGTGCGGGGAGGGGGGCGGCCAATTCCTTGGAAATTCAGGGACATCTCATGATTCTGTTATGGGGCAGCCGCGAATCGTGGGTAAAGCGAAATATAAATAAATACCCAGATGCAGATGGGGGAACCCCTGGCCAAGACAGAGGGTACGTGTTGGTTGTCCGAGGCGGAAGGTGAGACCATAAGCGGGAACGACGGAGATGACCAGAAAAAAACAATAACTAATTACCATGTTAGGCCACTTTTTTTCTTCCTTCTTTTCCACGGAGTACTCGATGATGTCTTCTTCGCAGGTTGGGGGAATGGTAGCACTGCGTGCTACCGAACTACTACGTACGTAAAAAAACAGGCAAATAGGGGTCCTAAGCTCAGTTAAAGGCCATAAAAATGTTATGTTAAAGTTGCCTTGTGTTGTATCACCTTGATCTTGTGGAGAGAGAGAGGAATACACTAGAAATCAAGCTCTCTATTAAAGACTGCCTAACCCAAGGTAGGTAGTACATTGTAAAAGAGGAATGAGGATGTGGCTCAGATAAAAGTTTGAACCCGACCAAACCTCGGCTCCCACTTTAACCTCGTATCTTAGCATGTACGCTATCTCTTCGTGTACTTTACATACATTATCTACCTACCTAGGTGCTACGTAAGTATGTGTACATAAGATAGTAGGTGAGGTATTTGTGTTATCATAGCAAAGGACAAAAGAGACAATCGGACATAAAAGAAAACTGAGACAGCAGAAGTGATATCGGCAAGGTTTGACAGGACGACGGACGCCTTGGTAGTGCCGATATGTCCAAGATCGGCGCCGTCGAACAGAACGCTTACTCGATACTCCAGTTCTGGTCGAGTCTCGAGTCATTACTACACTAGTATACTCTGAGACAATTCAACACTGGCCAACAGGCAAACCTTGTCGACAAGAAACAAGCGCAGGAACAGTTTTTTTTTTTTTTTTTTCCTGCCATTCCCTCTCATCCTTTGACTCGTAGCCTTAGACAATGTGCACTACTACCACACCATAAAACAGAAGTCTGAGGCCTCGAGGCTTTGATCCCTTATCATTCGCTATCTCGTCTACTAGTACTTAGGTTGGGGCAGTCTATACAAATTACTATATATTATGGGGGTATCCCCTGCCAAGCCGGTTCAGCCAACACACATGGAGAACATCAGTTGCATTTCGTTACGACTTCGCCATGACTCGGCGGGTCCGTCCATGTGTGCGTCTGTGTGTGCATCCGGTTGTCATGGCCGACGCCTTCCAAAAGTTAGAAACACAAAGAGAGAAAAAGATACAGAATTAGGTAGAATCCTAGCCCCCATCATCCCTGCACCGTCGAGCCGAAATGCCCGGATCGACACATTACACTACGACGGGATTCTAGCGTAGTGTAGTGCAACTCATAGTTTCCTCACTAAGATTACTTAGTCTCCTCCTTACAAACAATGCCGACGGCGATCTACTATAAGGTATAGCTTACGTAGTGTAAAAGTGCCGTAGGGAGACGAAGAACGGGAGGGAAAAGCAGGACAAGGCTTGAATGAGCTAAGCCTGCAGTGCTGTACTATGTAGGTTGCTTGATATATTCCTTCGCAACGCCGCTACTGCAGACGTAAGGTCCAATGTTACCCCCCCAATACCACCACCTAGTCCCCTCTATCTTGGGGGCTGCTGTCCAAGTGCGGCGGTGAACCTGTAAGGGAGCTCTCTGTTGACAGGTACGACGACGACAACAACAACAATAACAACAGCAACAATAACAACAACAACAATAACTACAACTAAGCACCATTTACAGTGCTATACTATATAGTGTAATGTAGCATTAATACCACCCAGGTACACTACACACTTCCCTGAGGATCACGCATAGTCATCCCCATCAAAAGCCTGCTGTGCTGCAGTATACATCTTCTACGCATACCTAACTTACGTGATACTATATGCGTATACACTCTTGGTTGAAAGACCAAGGTATCCACTAGGCAGCTCTATATGTCTATAACTATACAATGTAGATGAAGATGGGCTGAGATAGGTGTCATTTTTCGGTCCGTGAGTAAGGCGATCAAGATCTACCTAGTACCTGTCACATTTTCCCACGCAGATTGATTACTCATATGCAAGTTAGGGGAAGCAGCGACGATGCGCACTGCTATCCATACCACTCGGGGATTACACCGGGTACAGGTTTTATTCTAATTCTAGTAACCAAGCAGCAGGCTACGAGATCAGGTTGTGAAAAAGAAAAAAAGAAAAAAAAAAAAAAAAAAAAAAAAAAAATACTGCATGCAGTAATAAACGGAATTGCATGATGCATCGCCGAATCGACAGCCCCCATGATAGCGATAGCTCCGAGACAAACGCCCACCGAATACTATGATCCGCCCTGTTGTCTCATCAGCCAACCATGCTGTTGGGAATTGAGAACAGCTTCTCGGGATATTCTTGATTTTCTTTTCTTTTCTCTTCTGCTGCTGCTGCTTCTGCTTCTTCTGCATGGAACACGCTGCGCCGACTAGTGATCCTGACCTAAGCAATGATTTACCGAGTCATCACAGGTAGGCAGAGGTAGGTTACTGCGTCTCGTTCAAAAAATACTACCTACCTACCTACCCAAGTAAACCAAACAATATGATATTTCACCAGTCTAAACATGTTACCAGGAGGATATCAGGAGTTGTCCGGCACGTAACATATCCCTCCTAGTAGTGCAACAATTGTGACACTCCTATTTCCTGACCGCCATCTGATGGTAGTATAGGTAGGTAGGTAGGTAAGTAGGTAATTACCATGTGGGAGCGAACGCCTGCCTCACCGACTTTATTATTACCATTATTGCCGTTGTCATTGTTGTTTGCTGGGAATGATATTGACAGATGGTAATTACGATCCCTTACTGGACGCCGTGTATCCACGGATGACACCCAGAACAATCCCTATTCGTACGACGGGTGATATTCTACGGTACCACCTTGGTCCCAATCAGCAAATGACATGCCTGACCCAGTAGATCCTCTCCCCATCCAAATGCACATGACATACCTACAGTACAGTATAGGCCTAGCATACAATAATGCTCTTGTCTTGTCTCACCCATTTCGGGCAGCCGGACGCCCCATCTCCTTTGGCCAAAGATAGATAGTCTTTCCCGTGGTCACTGCTGTACAAATGTAGTGTACGGATGCATCCCGTGTATGCACGGTTACGGTAGATATGCGTAGTCTGTGAGTCGGTAATATCCTTGAGTAGGGAGGGAGGTGGTGTCATATCATATAACATAAGCGGAATATTTCTTTTTGCTTTGGCAGACACATTCCGTCAGCAGGTTTGAATGGATTACCTACCCAGTTAATTTTTTTTTCTTGTTGCCAGTATTATGCGGGTGCATCAACTCTCAGACCTCAGCCTCACTTGTTTTGACGTACATGTACATGACCTACCTGACAGAAACGGTGGATCGACCGCTTCACTACCATAGCGCTGGGTATGCAAATCTGCAATGGACCGGCACGGTCTTGGAGCTGAACTCCACGATGCCGTTGTCGCTTAAAATGTATCGTAATCAAGTCCTCGTGGGACCCAGTCCCGCGGTGTCAGAAAGAAAAAAGAAAGAAAGAAAAAGTAATTGTTTATGTCAGATCAGATCTTAGAACTTCACGATGTCCACAATGTTTCCCTCTACTATCAAATCATCCTAACTACGAGCCCCCTTATGTTGGCTTGAAGCCTACTTAACTGCATGTTAATTCAACCACTTAACACGGGCCTATATCACTATATGCATCACCCTTATAGATACCTTTACAATATAAAATAAAATGTATTAAAAATCACATGGGCATTATAAGGCTATTATTCTCTACTTACTTTATATTTTATTTTATTACTTAATGTTTATGTAGTGGTTACCTTAATGGTTATAAGAACATAGTTTAGGTAAAGATAATAGCTTAAGTACTTGTTTAAAAAAAAACAACTAAGGCTAATTTAAAGAGAACCATTATATGCTAAGGTCTTGTCCGACCGACTTGTATTCTCATCTTCTACCCTACCTCTGTTCGATATTATAAAAAATAAAATAATAAGGATAAAAATGATAAAAGAACGACAACGGCAGGATTTGAACCTACGACCCCGAAGGGATATGATAGCACTTAAGGAATTCTAGTCATACGCTTTAACCACTCAGCCACGTTGCCATGACGATCAGCTCGGTATTGGCAATATTATTGGCATGAGCGCAGGAAATTCTCGAGAAGCTGTGAACTTTGCACTAACCCTAGTCTAGCGGGGAACCGGGGGGACCCATTAGTGGGGGCGTACTCCGTACTGTAGTGGCTTTTTTACCAAAGCACACTTACTACGTAGACCCCACTTGTTGTATGTGTGTAAGCAATCATTCGACCTGGGATGATGGGCAGATATACCAATAGGACCCAGACACATTGAGCACCGTAGATGAAAAATGCTGTGTGGTGGTATACATAGTATACTATCCATACTAATACGCTGCACTTCCTGGGTATAAGGGTGGTGCGAACCTATCGGATCACCTGGCATTTGATGATGCCGGGTGCCGGGGACGGGACGGGGGGTCGGGGATGCGTGTGAAATGTGTGAAAAGCCAGCGCAGTTCTACAGTCATCATCAATCATCACATTTTGGCAATTTTCAATTTTACCCCATTTCGTGACCAATCCTAACTCAGTACGATAACATTGCACCCTTGACATTCCCGGTGGGTTGACGGCGGTTTTGAGATGCTGACTAGAGATCTCACACTGGGGTTCATCTGGAGAATTTCGTCGGCGACTCCGTAGAGCCTCATTTTTCTTCTTCTTCTTCTATCACTGTCTAAGCTTATCTCATCACTCGTGGATGACGGCAATGGGGAGATATTGGAACTAGATGTGGGGATCACGGGAGCTTTGTTCCGGGAGCAATGGGAAGATCGAGAATTGAAAACGAAGAAGCAGAAATATAGCGGTTTGTTGACATCTAAAGTATTCAGGGTTGACGCTAAATACATAATGCGATGATTCAAAGTTAAAGTATTCAGTTTCACAAAGTTCCTCCTCTCATCATCCCCTTGAAGTAAAGAAGTAGAATATGATCAATTTGTGGTGTCCTTGCGGGTCTGTACTTCCGTGTTATCATCAATCATGCTCGTATATGTTCATATTATCCTCCAAGAAACATGCTGGAAAATAATGAAGAAGAAAACAAATCATTCCAAACTCTTTCGTCTTTCCTCCCTGAGGAGCCAAATGGACATTCTGGCAGAATTGTAATTCACCTTGCGAACGCCGTATTACCCAATACTTGTCAATCCCTGAGGACTTTTGTGCAAAGCAGTCTATAAGATGGAGTCAGGTAGTCGTAAATCATTGGAAAACAATTGCCTCCATTACGTCCCGCGTGGAGACAAGGCTCGTTTCATGGTCAAACAAACTGCTAACATGTTGCGTTCTTTCCTCCAAAAAGGAGACAAAACAAAAAGCACCATTAAACGCCGGCCATCTAGCCACTAGATGACCCATGATGCAAAGAATTCTCATGACATGGAAAAGTTGAGAACAAGTATGGCTGGTCGGTTGCGCTAATAAACGAATACGTGTGTAACCCAAATCGTTCCAATCAAGTGCTCAGTTTGTAAGAAGTGCTCGGTGGTAGTGGGAGGTGTACGGAAGTAGTCGGTCGATGGAATAATTAGTCGCTTTGCTGCGCCAACGGATTCTTGCCTGGGTAAATGCCGCCGTGGAGGACATATTGCTCAAAGGGTAGACAGCTGATGGTGTTGCGTGATGATCGAACCCATCCAGGCTTCGGGACCTCTTCCCAATTCTCGTCATTGAGCGGGTAGAAGTTGTAGGTCTCGTGCGTGGGGAGGTCTTGATGCTCGCAATCGAATATGCCCTCGAGGTGCATGCGTTCGAGCTTCGGTAGCTTCCTGCGGAGGCCGGTGAACAGCGATCGGAACGTTCCTTCGTAGAGATGGATACCTCCATGCGATGCCTCGAACGGTTTGGCTAGCCCGCGGCCACCCAGTCGCAAGCGCACCAAGGTGGCGCCGTGTCGACCCAAGAATTCCTTGAGATCCTCCTCATCACACGAGATACCTTCTAGCATCAGGTCTGTGAGACGCGTGTAGGTAAAACCGAAAAGCAGTTCCCTAAAAGAGAGTACAAATTTCGAATGTTCGCTCGAATAGGGGTGAAATGCGAGCTTCAGGTGTGTTACATTACTGGCAAGCTGAAGTATGCGACCCAATCCGTTCACAGCCCTGAATGCTGACGTGGGACCTTGAAGGCCAGAGGGATCAAGAGTGAGGTTGAGGCTAGAGAGACTATGGAAAGATTGGGCGTTCGTAAACCAGTGTGAACGATGGTTTGCCATCCGAAAGACCTCAAGCGGAAGTCGGTCTACTTTGAAGGAAGAGAGCTTTACTCCGTGCAGGGCGAAAATGATTGCATCTAGGTTCTGATACGTTTCTTGGCGTTCCAGCTTCCTGCAGTTAGGGTAGAAGAAGGCCTCTTGGATGCATCTGTTGTTTAGCGTGGATGGGCATCGCGCAAAGGAAACTTCAAGATCCTCAAGATTTGGCAAAGCTGAGCAGGCCTCCCGGAGATCGTCAGCCCTCAGATGGAGGGGTCCGACCTGCTTACGCCCGGCTGCAATCTTCTCGAATTCCACTCGAGCCTGAGCCATCAGCTCAGCCCGCTCTATCGGGGGTGCCACGAAGTGCTGAGCCCTGCTTCGAATCAAATTAGCTAGGCCTTTGTGAAAGACGAAAATTGTTGGAAGATGCGAGTCCTCATCTTTCAAGGCCGGCCCCTGAGAAAACTCCCAGCAGAGGTACCGTATGTATCACGAGAGCTGTACAACAATTGAGAGGGGATCTGGGTGTTCCTACCATGAAGTGGTCCATGCATCACCGTAGGACAGTTCTCCGAGAAAGATATTGATCGACTTGATGCTTCCCCTCAAACGTTCGTGGAGTGCGATGCAGTGCAGGCGATCAATATCATCGCGCCAATTAAGCGAGGTGAAGTGCGGCGATAACAAATATTCATAGCCAACGTCTGCGAGAACCCGATTCACGGCTCGTAAATTGGGAACTGATTCATGATCACAGTAGGCGTAGACGAGCCTGAGAAGCTCAACGGGTAGAGCATCCATGGGAAAGCGGAGGGTGAGAGAGGATGCTCTGCTGATTTGCAAGCTGCGTATTAGACGAAAAGGCGGGATGGGGAAAATATTACAAGGAAGGTGACTAGAAACCCGCCAAACTCCGTCAGATGATAGGTTTGGGTAAAAGATGGAAACGAGGAAGCTTCAGAATTTATCTCCTCCCCAGAGTAGAGAGAGCGATATATATATAAAAAAAAAAAAGAGAGGTAGTAGAGAAAATGTAAATATATATGTCTATATATATACTAGTAATGCACTAGGACCCGAGAGAAGGACAGAAGCGGTTGAGCAGCGTGTTGTTAACGAATAGGCGGAGAGAAGTTCATTTGTGCGTTTCTGCAGCAAGCCTCTCCGATTTAGGACAAAGTCCAAAAAACGACTAAAAGTATCGGTGAGAGTGAGACACACGTAGGCACAGACTGCTATCTTACGGGCAGCGGCAACATCGAAGATTTTCCCGTGGAATGACTGGCGGGCGAGACTGGCCTGACTAGCCTGACTGGCCTGACTTGGCCGGACGGGGCCCTGGTCGGATGGAGATGGGATCTGACTACTCAGTATCCAGCCCGAGCCTGACAGCAGACGACCACGGTGCACAGCGAAAAGCGAAATGCGAAATGGAATCGCCAAAGTAGCGGTATAGTAGCGGTAAGGCGGGAGTGCGCGTGGTGTCACACCTGCAGAAATCCCATGCCTCTGCCTAACCCGAACGGGACGGTACGGTGAAGAGGGTGATAACCAAGTGAGGGAAATGCGGCACGGTATCTTTACAGTATCTGCACAGTGTCTCTGGCCCGGCCGTCTACTGTGGCCTGCCAGTCTGAGTACCTGCATTAGATTCCACGAGGCGGCTTGACACTGTGGTTTTCTCGGTGAGCTGGGACGCTGCTGGGACGCTGCTGGGACTCCGCTGAGACGTCCTGCCAGCAGATCGCTGTGATTCGCCTGCGTCATGCTGGGTCGCCATGGGGGGGTTTTCCTGGTCGCACGCCAGCTCGCTAGCATGTATACTAATATATGCACTAGCTTAGCTGGGTAGCTCGGACTGTCCCCCGAATCACTAAATCGCTACCCGACCGAGAGGGTGATGAACGTAACGAGAACTACGTATAGTATAGTACTACGTAGTATACTAGGGTACCTACACTAGAGGCTAAGACGGACGACAAGCTCTACTCATTCACATGTCCTACGTAGGTATCTAATCTGTACGTTAAAAATAATGATGAGAGGTATCATGTTATACGAATAATGACTACCCATCGAAGCCATCGTACACACTTCGTTACTCGTCGAAGAATACTATACCTACCGATTCACCATCATTTTATACCATCTCAGGTCATTCGCCGAATGCGCCTTAGAATACCGATGCACCTTATCCACCGTAAAACTCGTCCCGGTAACTGGGTACCGTGCCTGGTCCAACCCAAGCTGCCGGCTAGCAAGGATGGCCCGAATGGGTTGAGGCCACGCCGCCAAGAGGATCCTTTCACCACGTCAGTAGTCTAGCGCGACATGTCTCCTAGACCGCAAGATCCCGACTGCCTATAACTTCCCGTGTCGTGCTCGAAAGAGTTCCACCTTGTCGTCGTAGTAAAGGATTTCACGTAGACGTAGCCGTGGTGGTGGCTTATTCGTTGCCGCTTCCGCAAAAGAATCTGCCTCCGATTCACCGTCATCAGACGTCTCTACGAAATCGTCATCGGCGTCTAGGAAGGAGTCGTTGTCATTCTCGTTTTCGTCCTCGGTATCATCATCACCCTCACTGTTGCCGTCAATATGGTCTGCATCACCGACGGATATGGCGTGGTCATCGTCGTCTTGGAAGCGATTGTTGACACTCTGTTCTGTGATTTCGAAACATTTATTCCATAGTCCCACGTAGGCGAGGCGTATCTCTCTTCTCAAGCTAATGATATCTACGATCTGGAGGGCCATCTCTTTCGGTGATGGCGGTGCTGGACCATAGAGGCTGGCCATTTGCGGAATATAGAGAGAGCGCAAA